CCCCTTACCTTTTCTATTTGAGACAGTACTGTCCTGAGTTTTGGGTAAGAATCCACAGAGGCTAAATCACTATCATTTTTTTGACAGTAGAAAATAGCTTCCTGGTAGCTCAGGTTTTTATCTGGTACAAACCACAGCTCTGCTCCATCAACAACAAGTGGGGCTCCATGAATTCCAATTTCATCTATGCAGAAGAAATACCACATGCATAAGAAATCAATTCTGAAAAACTAATCCTTTCTTTTTCTGAATGTATGAAGAAATGTCACTTTGACACTGGGAAAAGCCAACAATCTGCACTCTGAACTTTCTCAGAAACAAATTCTATCAGTCATAACCTTTCCTAGTATCAAACAAGTATTGGACTAATAATGTAACCAAATTAATAAAAGATATTGAATCTAAACCACTATATACACATAATGGAAGAATACACAAAAAGTCCACTTACCTGGTATATACCACTCAGGAGTCTTTGGAGTGCTACCTGTCCAGAGGAAAATAAAGCATAGTCACTTCAAGTTCACCTTCTAACAAGACCGTGGCCACCAATAATGGAAGTGATGGCTAGTACTTGTACTTCTCAGTATTTATGATCAAAAAAATAAAAGGTGGAAACCATATACAGGTTTAATAGTTAAAAGAGCTGATGTAAAATCAATGGGAGTACTGCCTATCTCTGTCTTAAACATCTGTATTATTTTTCTCTCTCAAGCAGAACACAAGCATCAAAGTAGTGCATCTACCAATATCTCACTACAACAAGACAGTTTCATCCCCTGAAACATCTTTTAATGAACAACCAAAATATAAAAGTCTACTTACTTAACTTTTCATACTGCATGAAAAAACCCACCTGAATCTGTGCAGATATGCCATGATTTTGTATTCCTCTGTTTCACTACAATGAGGAGCTAGTACAACATTTTTACCAGAAGACTAATTCACCTAAGGTTGAAGCAAGTGGTACACCCAAGATGACTGTGACCATAGTTACAAATACCACTAAGAAAGATTAAGTGAAGTCCACAAATGTTGCAACTTGGTGGCTTACATCACCTCACAAGAAACCACTTGTCACTTCATGGGACTAGAAAGACTATGGGAGCAAGGATACTGCATCCTGCTCATGACAATTTTCTCCTGTATCTTCGAATATTCTAAATGTACATCTGTTCATATGTGACATAGGTGAGACATTACATGTACTGTCCTCTTAACAGTTCAGTGAGGAAACAACAAAATACTGTTTGCAAAGTTAGTTTTTCTATTATTGGGCAATAATGACAACTCAGTTGTAATGAACTCTTTATATGAATCAATGGATGTAACTGCAGTTTACCTTTTGTTATCTGGCAGACCCATTCAAGTTTAGCTTCACAATCAAAAGGCCTGAAGTAAAATTCCAGGTCTCTGCCTTCATGGAAATAATATCTCCAAAATGACCTCCGTGAAAACTGAGAGGTCTGTATAAAATTAGAAACAGAGAACTGAGTTAGTACAGCATAGGCCTCTGAAATGTGAAATTAAACCGTATTAAAAAGGTACTTTGACAAAGTCAGTGTCCCACAATTTATTTGGAAAAAAAATGAGCAGATACAACTGTAACTCTTCGACTGTAATTCTCCAGGTTAGCCAAGGCTATAAAGCAATTAGGTAAAGAGCTGAAGGTCAGTCTACAGACAAAAGCCTTTCCCAGCAATGTTGTTTCTTAGGGCTTTTGTAGTGCACAGGATCCCATCAATGCTTACTATTAAATTAACTGTTGCAACTTGTCTCCCTGAAATGATTCTTATTTCTGCTGAAAAGAAGAAACCATCTGAACTGGCACAAAAATAATCTTTCTTATTTAAGATTATTTCTTACAATCAAGCTTCAGAACTGACTTCACTCTTGCTGATCTCACACCAGTAAGGAGAATTTTTTATCATTTAGTAAAATAACGTCTATAACTAGCAAGTAGGGGAGGTAAGTTACTACATTCACAACTTCTCAGTCTGGTGACATGAACACAAGAGAAGAGAATGAGGGAAATGGCTCTGAACAGAAGCAAAGGGATACAACTATTCTTTCCTTGGTAAATCCTAAAAGCAGAGGTGGTTCTAATTAGGTTAAAAGGGATGATATTGGAATGATCTTATAAAAAGTCAAGTGATGCTTCAGAAAAATCAGAGGCCATTTCAAAATTCACGCCATCAAGACTAAATTAAGTAACGAAGAATATAATTAGGAACTAAGCAGAGATCTGACATTTAAAATTAGAAACTGACAAAGCAGTTACAGTCTATTTCACAAGTAAGCAAGGAAATACACACAGTAAACACAAACACACGCTCTGTGCTGGCTACTGCATTCCCCTACTTCAGGTTTCAACTTTTTCTTAATTTGCAGTTCAGAAAAGCCAATTTAGATTTTCAAAGTTAGGGCTATGTTTGGGTTCTTTTTTTATACTCCTTACATCCTTAAGTGTTACGTGCAATATTCAAGACACACATAGCACAGCATTATGCAATATAGAACAGCATTGTTACTAAAATATTTAGTAGCTCATAAGGTTCAAAAGAAATCTTATGAAAGTTTATCATTAGCACAGCACTTGGTTCATAAAAAACTATTTACATAAGGGAAAATTGATAATAGGTGTAGATTGATAAAGGGAACTGTTTTACTATGCTAAGAAAACATCTCAACCTAAATTTAATATGTGTCTGGAAAAACTATTTTTTTCAAGTACTTCCAAGTAAAAACATGCATGTTGTTATTAAAAACCTTGAAACTAACCTTTAATGCAGCACAGTCTCTTGTATCATATTCATCTTCCAGATAGTCAAGTGGTATAACAGTAGTTACCTACAGGAGGGACAGGGCGAAAGAATCATCACTTTACAATTTGCTATGTCAGCCCCAAGAGAAAACCATTCAAACCTGGGGTCCCATTATGTTCATTACTATTAAATTATGTGTTAACTGTCAGTTACTGAATCAGTTTTGAGTCTCCAAATTAGCTATTCTGTGGGGAAAGAACTCTAAATTTGAGGCAAATAAAACAATTACAGGGTGGAATATATTTTTAGAGAAGTCTGACCTTTCAGGGAGATGAACTGATAAACCCTCCCCTCAGTTGTGGCATGAAGACACCTAGTTCCCTCCACCAGGTCTTAGATGTTTACTACGACATTTCTGTTAAAGTATTTTAACATAATGGAGACAGAAATCAGGTTAACCTTATTAAAGATATTTAATTGGAAATGTGCCTGGATGGCAGCTCTTAAGTGAACAATCTTCTTCTGAATTATTCATCTGTTGAAGGATCTGCCATATTTTAATTAAAATATTTATCAATTTACTTTCAATTCAGTTGAAGTTGACACAAATCAGGACATAACGTTTCCCAGCTAGAAGTTAACTTACGGGTGTATCGTCACTCCATTGCCAGGTTCCCAAAGAATCTGGACTCCTCTTATTCATTCCAATCCATACCCATCTGTCATTGCTGTAAATAAACAAGAGAAAAATCTTATGTCAAGCATATGGTTCAGCTCATTTCATAGAAAGACTGACCTATGTCATGGCATTACTTAGGATCAAGCAGCAAACCTGAAGGTTTACTGCTGCAAGTTGCAGCAGTTCAAAGAGCAAATAGGCATAAGGGCTGGGACCTCCTCTGCACAAAAGAAAACTATCTAAATCAGATAATTCATTTGTTGGCTGCATCAACCCTTCATCAGCTGTCACTTGATATAAAGGACTCTTTTCTACACTATTCTTCCAGAATCACACACAGTGTGTTTATATCGCTTGGTTCTCTATCTCTTGTCAATCTCAGGCCATCTCCTCCTCTACCATCAGCTCAAACACATTCCCCCTCAAACTACACAAAAGGTTCTACTCACATAGCACAATCACAAAAACTGAGGTTTGTCAGTGATATAAACACACCAAACATGGGCACACATTTCAATTACGCACCTTCATAGAACAGGCATAAATGAGCACCTAACCCCACTGACTTCAGTGCTTGCATAAATGAGTGACAATAGAAATTGTAGCCCAGTTAGAACTGTAATTTTTTCCTAGATTTTACTTCCTCATTTTTCATAAGCAGGGGACACTTAAAATTTCAACTACGCTCCAAAATACAAAGTTGACTGAAAAAATGGATTTACAATGTAAATACTCAAATCTCCAGTAAGAACCTTTATCATACTCTTAACTATTGTTTATGAATCTAAAGATGCTGTAACAACATTAAATGTGCTAGTTCAGTCACAAGGTTAGTTTTGTACTGCAACTTTCCAAAGTACCAATTTTGTGCTAGGTTCTGAAGTTCATGACAATTTACTCCAGGCCACTACCCTGACCAAGAAAGGCCATAGACACTTTTCTGATGACAGTGTTAAGCTGGAAGAGGGGAGAAAGACCATGAATTTTCTATGAAATCACAGACTACAAGAAAACCTACTCCACAGAGCTGTGGAAAAGGCACTCCCATCAAGGTGGTCTGACAGCAATAGGCAAAGTACTGGTAACACAGTACAGGGTTCCTATAAAACTGTTTCAGGAGTACTATTGCATAAACTCATGTTGTACCAAACACAGAGAAGGAACACAGGAACATTTGAGGAAATTAGAGTTTAGACCATTAACAATAATTAAGGATTACCCTGACAGACAGGGAAAGGATATAATTATTCTTTACAATATTTTAGGGGACTAAATCCCCAGGAAGAGGAGCCATTTGAGCAAAAAGGATATTATATCTGAAAGAACCACAACTCAGAAATAAATTCAGGCTCAAAATTGGAAAGAGACAACTGACCAGCAGAGGTCAGAATTTGGAAAAGGCCCCCCAAAAAAGTACTGCTGATGACTTGAACAAAGCAATTTAAAGTAAGACTTTGGAAAGTTCACAAAAATTATTTTATTATATGAAGGGTTGAACTCAGACCCAGGCTTACCCACATAAGCAATGTTATGAAATCATGGGGCAATGTTAAGAAAGTCTTTTACAAGACTGTGTCACTACTTTTCCACACATATCACCATAAAGACACTGAACAGCCTGAAAAGATTGATGGTACAGCACCAACAAACAGCTTGGCCCAGAGTATGTGGGTTAAATACATGAAATCCAAGAAGGCAACATAATTTTATTTGTTAGAGCTCCCTTCAGGAAGAAAAGTATTGGCCACCAACAAATCTGATTTGTTTGTTCTTAACTCCAGTAATACTTTCCTGACACTGGTAGAGGAGTGCGATCAGTCTAGTGTGATTTTATCATACTGAACAGTCTTTAGTCTTTTAATGATACAACTAAGAAGCCTTTAAAGAGCTTAAATACCCCATATCACTCCAGAGGGAAAACTGTGAGCCAAACATTCACAGCTGTCAAGCAGCAAAGTGGCTTTTGGCAATTTGCCTTTAGGATTTTATTTTTCAGTGATTGTTCTTCCAATTACAAAGCACACATTGCTTAACCTTCCCCTTCTAATTGTCACCTACAGGCTTAGTGCAGTTTAAGCAGCTGATCATCACAAAGGAATATCTGCTAAAAAAAGATTTGAGATACTCATTTCAAAAGGATTTGCAGTAATTACCTGAGGATCTAGAGGAATTTTTCAAAGTCCTTCAACTTGTATTTGGCTTTTATGTAATAAATAAATTAAGAAGTCTGCCAGGTCAAGAATTTCTCTAGCTTATCTCCTACTTTAAAAATATTGGCCTGCAAACAGAACAATGTTTTCAGCCGACTGGGCACTTATACATTAGTGTACACCTTTTGCTCCTTTTGGAATTGCTAAGACATGACCATGAGTAAATCAGTAACTTCTACACTATACTTGACAGTACTTTTAAGCTTCAGTAAAGCCATCTGATAGCCCTCTGAAATGATACTATCATCACAGGAAAGAATTCCACCAACTATTTAAGACAAATATGAATTAAGACTCTCAACTAGAACTAAGCTTGCAGCAAGGAAGACACTTGTGCTACCAGTACCTGTCTCCTCATTGCAAATCATTTAAAATTCATCCTATGGACTTGTATCAAAATGGATTTATCAGTGCCAGAGTATTCTTTGAGCTACATTCCTGGAACTGTCTCTAAAACCTTGATTATCCTGAATTTTAACCTTAAAAATGGGTGTAATTTGAGCTTTACAATGGACTCCACCCTGATTAACAATGAAAGACCTTAAATCTTCAGCAATCCCTGCAGAATACTGGTGGTTCTTCTCTCACACAGAACCAAAACTTCATAAAAGCCAAGTTAGAGGAGTGGATAAATACAGCTTAGACTGATGCGAAGGGACTATAAACCAATTATTTTTCTAGTCATGTTCTGACTGCTGAAATATAAAAAATTATTTTTTCTGTCCTTTATGGCACCTCCAACACAAGATAAGGACCTAAGTTAAGCTCTTGGGGTTTGTAGGGCAACCTAGTTCTTGACAAGAGGTTATATGGACATCAGGACCAACACCTTACTAGTGTAATTTAAGCCACCATTTAATCTTAGTGCTAGCCTGAAACTACATATGAAGCCCATCTGACCCCCTTTTCTTCCCCCTGTAATAAACAGGCTACTGCACTAGCTAAATCCCCATCCTGCTAATTACCTACTCTTGAGTGGAAGAAAAGAGAAGCTGAATAAATGCATTACTACAACTTGCATCTCAGCTTTACTGCTATTTTGACCAGTGTGTTAAGATCAGGTTTTTTCTTACAAACTCGAGTGTTCACGAGGCTTTCTAAATTCAGAACAATTACAGCAGCAGAGCTGTTCATATAAAAGGCAACTGGTTTCTTTCCAGTAAGATGCCCTCATTGAAATGTTATTTCTAACCAATCCAAGCTATTACTCTCCCTGTGTCCAGCACTGCTGCCAGCTATAAGCTGCAGAATGCTCACAAACACAGCCCTAAAGGAATGGAAGTAACTGAACTGGATCTGTTCTGCCTGTATCATGTCCCTTAAAGTGAAAAGAGATTATCTCCTATTTCCTCCAAACAGGGGGAGGTTGGCAGGCAAATTTTATTTCAATTTCCAATGGCAATAGCTTGACTTGGCTGGAGCAATTCTAGCTCTTATTTGCCTCTAAGGTGGAATCTGAGTAAAGAACAGAATGGACTAGGCAAGCTGCCCTTTTCCTGGTGAACCACACTGACTCTTGCTAACATTTAAAAACAAACAATTCTCAATGAGTCACCAGAGAACTGTGCAAGGGGTAAAAACCTGAAACCAAAAGAACTGAGGTGTGGCTCCTTCCCCAGGCTGAAATGAAAGCACTGAATGAATACTTTAGGTCAGAGTTTGCACTGAGTAAATGCAGGAAACACTAACAAACTGCATGCCAGCACACTCCAGCAGCTAATCACATCTAACATTACCTTAGGATGATTTCTCCAGTTACCTAAATTATTTGTTCTTGGTGAAATAATTCACTTGCTTTCCTATCTCCCCTCTCAAATGAGCTTAATTTTCAGACAAGCTACCCTTGACACTTGACCTCCAAAATATTTTATGTAATTACCACCTCTGAAAAAAGGTGGTAATTTAAAAGCATAACTATCTTCAACAATTCACTATGTTATCTAAGCAAACAAATATTATATAAAATACCTCAGGAAGCATCAAATGTGGAGTATTTCAGTTCAGAACATTCTGCAGTGCTAAAAAAGGGGTTAACCCAGACGAAAATACTGTGCTTCCAGTTATATTTGACAAGCGCAGTTACTGCAACACTGACTGCAAAGTCAATTTATACCAGGCTCAATATATTGCCCCTTATTTTAAGTTCTGGTAGAATAATACTGAAGTACTGGGACCTTCCTTCTTTCAGACTAAGTTCAAGTTTCCCTTCCGAAATAAGGGAAGTGCAGGAGCATTGTGAGTCAGTTCACTTTGTGGAAAGACAGAAAAAGTCCCCCCCTTTAAACTCTTAACAAAAACACAATCATTAACTATAATTAATACCTCAGTCGGTCTGCAAGCTGAAAATCTGTTCCAAGTACTTGTAGGAAAAATGAAATGTTACTTCTTTATTCATGTTTCATAGTAGATTAAGTACAATAAATCAAAATTTCTAATTGTAAAATGATACAATATCATACAATACAGTATCTACAGCTATAAATTATTTGTGCGCTATTTTTTATTTATTTTAGGGACTTTAGTCAGTTTAGCAAAGGAATCACAAGTGGCTTTCACCAAGCTAAACCAACTATATATAGAGCATACAAGTTTGTTTTTGTCTCTTATTAACATAAACACTGAGTAATTTTCATGACTTGTGCACTTCTAAAAAAAGTTCACCAGGTTTTCAAGAAGGCATCTCTTCAGTCATCAAGTTTTAAAATTTAATCACAGTGTTGTATGCTGGCAGCTTCTGAAATAATCCTGATTTAGTTTGTTGATGAAAAAAACTAGATCACAACTGGCAGCATTTGAGTTTAAGTTGGCAAAAGTTCTGAAAAACCAGGCTGTCAATCAAAAAAAACCATATTACACAAGGATCTGACATCACACCAATGCCTAATAAAGCTTTGCAGTGACAGTTCCTTTGATTAAAAATAGAGCTTAAACTCATAAATTATGTAGCATTTAATTTGTTGATACCAGAAAACTCAGCACACCCATCTAATGCCCATATAGTGTTATTGCAGCTATGCCAAATGGGATCCATGCCAACCTGTTTGCTGGACACTATTCACATTTCAAAAGATAGCAACCAGTTTAGTCACAAAGCATTTCATGAATAAAAATGAGACCTATCTGAAAAACTGAAATAACTCATCTCTAAAGAACATATCAGTAAAGAATAGTAACAGTTCTCATCTAGCTGTGCCAAAATTCAACATAAAGAAGGAAGCAGTTATTATAACAACAGACTTAAATGTATGTAATGGAAGATGCTCAAAACATATCTCTCGTTTCCTGCGCTGCCTCCAGCAATGTGAAATATCTGCCTAAGCTGTACTCCCTTGACATTTTCCAGCAAGGCAGTGACACAACCAGCAGTTCAAATGCCACATCTAGCTGTTTCCACTGCTGCTGCACCCTATCTCATAGTTGCCATTTGGGGTCAGCAGCAGCACTTGTGATCTACTGCAGAACGCAACCAAAATCAAAATTTTAGAGCATGGCTAGTTTGTTACCTGATCATTTTTCTCAGAATAGAATGAAGTGCCTTGATTTCTTCTGAGTGACTAAAGCTAGGCAGATGGCCTCCGAGTGCTTCACAGAACCTTTCTGCCTCTTCCCAGGTCCTGGTTCGCAGCACTCTTTCACTGTGGAAGAACTTCACAACAGCCAAATATTAGAGCAGAAAATGACACAAATGACAGCATATTTAAACCACTCCTACACTACTCAAATATGACCACCTGAGATTTAATAACTGGTATTTCAATACAGGGAGTGCTTGACTTTTCAACAATTATTTTTGGGTTTTTCAGTTTGTTTGACATGAGCCAAAGTCTAAAGTTTGGCTGACAAAAATTGCTTCAAACACAACTTATTCCATATGAATTTATCTAGTCTGCTTGACCAGAAATATTTCAGAAAACTCATTCCAAAACTGAAAGTCAAACTGTAAGTTTTAAGGGATGTTTTTCTTTCAAAGCCTCATGTTCACTGAAACGAGGCTCATTTGGGTGCTGCGGATGAAGAAAGTTCTTTGGCATGTCCTTTGCTACCTGTATGCACTGGAGTTGCAAGTCTGACTCATACACCTCAACTACCAGTCCACTGGATCCCCTTGGCATCAGTCCAAAGCAATTCCCATCAGCTGGATCTCTCTGCACAGACATGCTGCATTTGGTCAACAACAGTTCTGGAGAATCTGCCAAGGCCAGCTGTCATGTCCATCAGCTATGGAACAGATATGCTGCACACCAACCAAGCCCATCCCTTTGGGATTCATGCCCATACTCCTGTTATTAAAGCTGGGTTTCCCCACTTCGCTATATGAGCTGTTTACAAGAGACAGTTCATTGCAAACACCAAGTCCAGAAATCATGAATAAATGAGCCAACAAACAGCCTCAGTTTTAACTTGATCTCATTGTTAATAGGACAGGAAAAACCTGCATGTCTGAACACAAACTTGTTTAAGCCATTCCAGCTAACAGCACAGCTGCTTACTTCCACTATACATTTCAAAAACAGCAAAATACAATTGAGGTTGCACTTTTTTAATATCCATATTAAAACCAGAGAAAATCCCACCTCTCCTACCTACACTCTTAAGAGTACAGACAGGAAAAGGACACGGGAAGGTGATGCAAAGCACTTTCCTTCTCTATTCAGATGTCTCTGCATGCAAGACAGCAGCAGACTAGGATACAGGCACAGCACCCTCTGAAAGCATCAGGCTCCTGAGACAGCAGCACAGGGTGAATGCTATTGCCCTGCTCAGCTCCCCACAACAAGAGTGACACTGCATCTTTCAGGAATCAGTGGTGAATGATGCATGAGAACATCTGCAGGCAGTCGACCTGAATAAACATCAATTCCCCCTCCCAGTGTAAAACACCTTTAAAATACCCTTCAGAGCAGCTATGAGCCACAAAATGGCTAATCACACACTTGCTTCCAGACATTAATAAGCAATTAACATCTAGCAGGAATAATATTTTACCTTGTAGCAGGCAAGGCCGGATCCATTGTGCCACCCAGGTGGACAGGGATCAGTTGGCTTTGGGAGCACTTCCGGCTCCTTGGGCAGCCCAATATATTTTTTGCAGATAGAAAATGCTTTAGTGGTTTTACAGTCCTTAGTTTCCCACTTTCCAAGAGAACTTCCACTGGACATGGCCACACATCCTCCAGAAAACTCTAAGATCAAAGCCACCAAATACATATTAAAAACCATTACATGGTTTAAAAGACAAAACCAAAACCAAAAAACTCCAACAAAAAAAAACCCAAACATTTTTGTGAATTACTACTTTACTTCATGCTTGGAGTTCTGTAACGTGGTACTCCAATGCTTGCTCAATGTACAATGATAGCATTTTTATGTATTTCTTACTTTTCAAATTTACCTGGTTGCAAGGAATTCCAGTTAGTGTATGTCACGGCTTCAGCTTTTTCTCCATTCACTGTACCCCAGGAATATATTCCTGATTGGCTAATATCCTGCAAACCGGTCCAGAAGTATTTTTCTTCAACTTTGGTGTATTTTCTAATTAGACTGTTTATAAATTCTTGCTCAAATCTGAAAATTCACAGATTAATCTGAGTCAATATTTGAAAGATACCTGAAACTGAGATTACTTGAAAACCAGACATGCATATATATGTATATATATATATATAACACCATGAATTAGTTCAAGCAGCTGTTCAGGCAGTCCTGTATTCAACACAGGGAACCCTCATACTTCCAAGGAGGTTTCACACTGTAGGTTTACCATCATCACATCACGGTAAACATGGTTTGCTAGCTCTCAGTAAAAGCAATTCTGTCTCTACTTTTTCTTTATAAACCACTAGGTAGCATACCAAGAGTTTAACCTCTCATTGCATCTTCTGGATTGTACTGTTAAACCTGCTCATAAATTACAAATGTTCTTTACCTGTTCATCACTGTAAGGTTGCACTGGGATCCAAATGAAACTTCTGTTTTATTAATATTGTAACAGTAGTTTCCATGTCTTTCCCATCCCTGGTTAGAGAACAAAAACCACATTTATACAAAACAACCTAACTTAGGCATTACCTATAGGAAAAAATAAATGATTGCCAACACTGGATGGTGCCCACAAGCTGGCACAGCATATACAAGAAAGAAATGCAGTGTGTCACATACAAGGTCCAGTATCATCAACTCTCAGATGCACAGTTCTAAGAAATAATGCAGCCACAGGAATAAAGTACACCACTGTTTTAGCTCGACTGTGCAGAGTCTTCTGATCACTATGTGCATTTACAGAGAGAAACACAAGGGCAACAGCCTAGTCTGGTTCAAAACAATAGGAGTTTTCATGCTGTTCCACCAACGCCAGGATTCAAACAGAGGCATACTAAGAGGGCACTACTAGTGTTCCCTTACTTCTGAGAAAAATGTTTTATACTGAAAATGTGCAAACTTACACCATTTCTCTATTATTCAAATACTTCCCCCTATATATAAACTGATACTTCAAGGAATGTTAATGCGTCTTCTAGCCTACCAATGCCATAGGTGTCTGAACAGCACAGAAAGCTGTAACTCTACATGCTGGAGGTCTCTGCAAAGACCGAGTAAAAAATATCCTGAGGTTGTGCAGAAAAAAAAGAGTAAACAACTTTCCTGTTGCAAGCAATATGCCACACAAAACTGAACCAAATAGCTAGAAATACCATCCTAAGCTTGTTCAACATTTCAGGCCTTACTTATGGGGTAACATGTTACATTAAAAAAATCAAAACAAAACACCAAAACAACCAAAAATCCCACCCTTTATTCAAGTCACAGAACAAAAATAAGAGCCAAGTGTAGTGTAACAGAAACCTAATCTCAGTTTTCAATTTCTGCATACATTTGTGTTTCAAAGTGCTTATACTAAATTTTAAAACACACTTAAAGCAAAAATCACAGGACAAATGGTGTTATCAGTAACATATCTAATAAAAGCAACAATTTTTTAAGCAAATACAACATCTCCAGGCTCATAAGCTCATAACACTTTCATCAATAAACAGACTGATAATACATCCACAGCCTGCTTAGAAGAATCTGAAATTTGGCTCATGCTATATAAATGTCCTTTTTCAGCTAAAACATTTCAGAGATTTTACTGAATGGACAGGAAGGAAATGGAAGTAGAGGAAATAAGTGATTTTATGTAGGTTTCTGAATGAAGTGACAATAAAAGAAATACAAGCTTTCTATTACCTTTTCCAATGGACAACTTAGATCTGATTTTGTTTCATTCAAAATCTCTCCTTTTTTCTTGCAAACATATTTCAATTTTTCTTCACAGGATTTGACTCTCCACTGCCCCAGCTGTGAGGAAGCAAAAAAAAAAAGATTTAAATTCTAACAGCTTTCATCTTCCATAGTTGCAGGGGCTGAGTTTCAATAAGGGTGAAAAACAAAATGCCTCTAGCACAAATACTGGGGGTGGGATGCCCTGGGTCATGTGCATAGATGCATGTTTGGAAGGGAGAGAAAGCTGATACACAAGGATATGGGAGGATTCTGGATCATGTATGAAAAGGAAAGAAAAGGCCAGGGTGGTGCCACCTGTCTTGGATCAGGAAGGGTATGGATGCAGGAGGTGTGCTCAGGCAGGGAGCAGGCAGCTTAGAGGAACTGGGCACATGGGCTCCAGTGCCAGGCTGACAGCACAGCAGGCTTGTCCCAGTTTTCTTCTGATTCTGTGAGATAGGATACAGCCTGATTCCCACTCATCTTAGTGACCTCTTCCCCTCACCTACCCCCTTCTTCTTCTGTACTGTATAGCCCCAGTGTCTGTCCTCCCCTCTGACCAAGGTATCTCACTACCCATCCTCAGATTGGCCCAAACTGGTCCTGGAGATCACTGAAGCCAGCTTTTCCTTTCAATAGTTTGTTCCACCTTCTTCCTAGCTTTCTGCCACTGACACACAAGAATACGGTAACCCAAAATGCAGAGTGACAAGGACAACAGTCTGGCCAACAGTAGTGATAGACTCAGAGCTGTGAGTCATTTCTTCCATTCTTTTCAGTACACATGTACTGAGTTTTGGCTAAATAATTTTAAGAAATTTACTTGTAGAAAAATTATTATCTGCATTTTAAAGATTATTCCAAAAACAACAGTTATCTACTTTATCTCCCTCCTTGACTTTTACACACATCAATGTTGCCCCTATTATGATGGGAAAAAACCCAATCAAATAAAAGAAACAACAATGTATTCCTACCTTCCCTGAATATGACACACAGTTAGGAGTGCTATTAAAAGGAACTTTGGGCTCATTCTGATCCCAATATGTAAAAACCACAGCTGAGTCATCTGACCATTTGAACAAGGTTGGCACATCTCCATTCCTGAGACCCATCCATATTTCTTCTTCAGCATCTGCAATTCAAAATTAGGACAACACTGTAGTTTCAAAATAATATTCAAACTATTTGGAAGAGAATGTGACATCAGCAAAAATAATTTTTAATCACTACACTGCACAGCATAAATGCCTCTTTTTTTTTTCTTATAATGAGAAAGGGAATCTCAGACAAATAAAATGCATTCTTGTTATCTCATTTCTTATGCTATTGAATATAAGTAAGTTTCACAGAGAAAGTAACAAACAGGAAAAAAAAGCCACAAAGAAAGAAATAATGAATGCACAAGCAAAAAAAAAGGCTCAATCAAATTTAATTTTTAGAGTGCAGACAAAAACATAAGACCAAAGACTTCAGATAGTATTTATCAGTTCAGTGACTCAGCAGTCAAAATATTGACCAAACTATCTACTATTCTCTTTGAATGAGAAAATAAACACAAAGTATCAAGAACCTAGAAGTAGGTTAGCCCAGTAAATGCATAAATAAATAAACAGATTGAACCAAAACAAGAGCTGACACAGCAGACCTGGGTCTGAATAGCAACACTCAGCACTAGCCTGGATACAAGATCACCACTAAACCTACATTTAAAAGCTAGAGGCTATGACAATCGTATGCTGGAACATGGAAAGCAGTTCATAATTTATGGTGTGTTACACTCACCATTATGAAGCTTTGTAACAACCAGTTCCACATCTGCTAATGAGTGTATGCTGATGAGGTTACTCTTATTTGCTTTGCACAACTCATCTGCTGTACTCCAAGGTGCCTGGTCATTTATCAGCATGTAGCAAGAGCCATCGTAGGGAAGCCAGCCCGAATCACAGCGAGTATCCCGGTGTGTCCAAAACTCTAATAATGAAGAGAAATGGAATTAGAGGCTTTTGTTTTACATCAGCTAGTACATGAGGTTGGCTTTAAATTCATCAGCACCTTGCAAACAGCCGGAATGCAGCGATCAGAATGTGTTTGCATCACTTCAGGGTTAATGGTTTAAGAAAGGGTCACAGTGTAGTCAACAAATAGACTTGAATGAGGACTCACAATATTTTGGGGCCATGAATTAGGTAGAAGGAGAGAGGAGTTAGTGGGAGTAAAAGTATAACCAGGAATGCACTACATTAAGCTGGTCTTAGTGCAAGAGAAAGGTGCAGAAGTAATTGTAAGCAAAATTTCAAAAGCACTTAAAGGCAATCAAGTTACTTCATTGCAGGACAACAGCTTCAAAAAAAGTTGCTTGTTTTGTTCTAGCAGATTATTATTTACGTGCAGTGCCACGCATAAGACCAATCTCGAACAGATAAGAATTGTTAATCAACAACTAGTTTTCAAGGGATCATTTCAAAATCTGGACCAGTTTAGTTATATTTAAACCAATTACTATTTTTTTCTACAAAGGCACACACTTCTCCTGGGTGATCTGGAAACAACATGCCTTAGCCAGAGACACTCCATGACACCTGCCACATCCACAACACTGCTTCACCCCTCTTTTCCCCTAGTCCTAACCCCTCATCCAAGGACAATTACCTTCCAGTAAAAGTTTTTGCAGGATGCCCTACAAGCATGAGACCTGGAAACTGGGTAAGAACATAGCACACATGGAAGAACAGGTCATGGACATGGGAAGCTTTGAACATCCCTGTATAGGTAAACGGTGAAAAGTATGGAAACAGTTAGATGTCACAGCTAGACACTGTAAATGCTGAAAGACTGTGTGTGTGCATGTGTGTACAGGTAGGTGGAGAGAAGGGAACAATTGTCTTGTAAAAGCCGTTAAGGATCCAGTAGAGATTACACACTGGGCAAGCTACCAACTCTTGCACTCTAGTTGCACTTGCCTTTCTAGTGCTGGGCCTGGTTTCAAAGGATAGTAAGGTCTCTTAACTACTCCTATTTGAATTCAAGTGAGTTTGATCCAAGACCCAGGTAGGTCTCACTTTATGTCAATAAAGAGTGAAACAGGCTTGAAGCAAAGATAGAAAGACTTGAGGTGAAACTGCCAGTTCCGGCGTTCCAGCAGCACATGAAAGAAGGCACAAACCGTAGAGGAAAATGTGATGAAAAGGGCAGGACTGTGCTGCAAAATGCCTTAAGTGTGAATGAGAAAGCTGCAAAAAATGAAAACTGCTTGTGATGCATCATCTTGACACTGAAGAAACCCAGTTTGCTTCTGCTGTGCTAAAAAACCCAAAGCTGTTGTCAAGTATGTTTTGGCAGAGACGCCCAGAAAGGCTTGGGGAGAGAAACAAACACTCCATAAGTGAACATTATACTTAACACATAAAACCCAAAAATGCAAGCTGTCCTACCTGGGAGGGTTGAACCTTGCTTGAACGGCTTCTTGCAAGTATATGGAAGTTGAGTCCCACAATGGTAACTCCGCCACTGACCTGAAGCAGCATTCATCATCACACAACTAGTCCCATCCAGTGGAGTCAAACTCTCCATATCTAGACAAGAACAAATGAAAACAGGACAGCACAACATTAAGGTAGTGACTGCTTCTTTTTACTACTGCTTGTGAAGACAAGAACACACTTTGCATAGTACAGCATCTGGTATTTGAAGAACCTAACTTGCATTCAATGAAGGAACCTGTCCTACCATAGATTCTGCAGAAAGTTTTTTCTGAGAGAAAGTTTCAGAATTAAGGAATCTGCACTTCTTTTCCAATGTTTAATCATAGGATCAGGAGGAATGTTCTATTTACAATACAACAAACACTTGGCTGAGCACTTTCCCAGACTAGAAATATCTCAGGGGAGAATCATTTTTGCAGTCCTCAGTTTCCTTCAGTAGTCCCTTTCCAGCCCCACTCCAAACACAGCTCTACACTTCTCTCAACACTAACCATAACCCTTGCCTTAACAGAAACCTGAGGCAAGGCCCCAAATTAGAAAGATCACAGAGAATAACTCTTTTTTGCAATACCCACCCAGCTTCCCTCTGAGCCTCTTTCCAGTGGAACATTTTTGGCTTTCTCTGAGCCTTGATGCAAACCTGAGCTATGTCCTACACAGAGCACACCAGCTCCCCCTGCACTGGGGTTGTTTAGTCTCACATGAAAAAAGGCTCAGGGTGGATCTTGGCAGTTCATTAGAGAGTACAGCGGAGACAGGGTCAGGCTCTTTTCAGAGGTGTACAGTGAGAGGACAAGAAGTAATGGGCGCAATTTGCAGCTATTCCTGTAAGATACCAGTAAGTATTTTCACAAGGAGGGTAGACATGATTATGTCTGCCATGACTGCAGACTAAATTATGCTGCTGTAACTCAGTATAGTCCAGCCTCTAGCTCTGCATTACAGTTCTACGGTGTGATCGCAGTTCCAGAAGAAGGTGCAGCCAGTAGTACAAGCAGCAAAGTTCTTAATTTTTCCAAAAGACAAACCACATTTGGAAAATTTCACAGAAATTTCTTAGTAAAGCTTTCAAAGAAGTAACAGAAACCACTTCTCTTTTCACTGTTGCAGTACTATTCTAGAAACTAAAGGAAAAAAGATGATTCCACTTTACAAAGCTCAAATTCTGCTTGAATGACAGAACAGTATTAGCTGCAATTATTAGCTGATTATTATTTCTCCAAGATTCTCATATATACATCCATCCATGACATATTTGTGAGAATATTACAAATTCATTCGGAAAACTCCAAATAAATAAGAGTGTCGCTAATCCTTCTAGGGTCTCTGGAGTAATTTTAAAAGTTTTTTCAAAGGTTTATACTTTGTTCATCTTCACCTTGACACAAATTTAAGCAACTTTGAAGTATAAAAACGCAAGTTAAGCTCCTAAGTAATGTCAGTCCTTGCGCATACACCAATAATTGCAATGTTTGAGGGAAGTCAATGCTCTTTGCTAGTGGGAGGAGAAATTTAGCAGGTAGGAAAGCTGTGCATTCTCTACTAAAATGGGCTTCAAAGATACTAAACTAAAAAGTTTTACTTTTTAGAGTTATTAACCTAATCAGCCATAAATATTGAATGAGTACAGAAAGATTCACTGGCTAGGAGGAAAAGATGTTTCCAAAAATGGAATGAATAGGGGGGAAAAAAAAAGCAAAGTAAAATGCTAATTACTATTGTGAATATTGTCAATACCACCAGAAACATCATTACCTGGATGCCAGTTGAGAAAATTCAAAGGTTTGTGATCTGACCACTGCCAACCTCCAGAAACGTCCAGTTGATTTAACCCAATCCAAAAGATCTCAGCAATGTCATCCTTGGCTAGAGATATTTTATTTTTAAAGAAAACCATTAGTATGAAAGGCTCATGCTTTACTGGTCTCCTTTAAATTGAAAATGTGATCTGAAAGGGTATGTATTTCAGGAAACAAATATTGCTACAATAATCAGACATGCAAACTTCTTGAAACAAGGAGGAATTCACCCACACAAGCCTTCCCTCCCAATGCCTTCAGATGTTTGTCCTTCGGTTTTATATTCCCAAGGGCACACGGATAATTGCTCCAGGCCAAGCCTGAACATCAGTGAGGACAATTTCATAACAACAAGTCGGTTACATGCTGCTAAAACACCAAATGCCACTCTGGCCTGTATTTGAGATTTTGGAGACATTCCTCATTACAAATATGAACAACAGATAACCAGTACAATGAAATCATACAGATAAATGCAAAAAACACTCTAAAGTGAGACTATCACCTTATTTTTGCTACACAAACAAAATCCACACCATTTTAAGTACAATCAACTTTTAACTCAGAATTTTAGGGCAGAAACTAAAATGCTGCCTCCACTTCATGTTAATTTATCAAGATTCCCCAATATTTGTATGTGAATAATTGCATCTACCTTGTATGTAACTTAATTCAGATGCATCTTGGATGCTAAGCAGATCTCCCCCTTGCCTTTGACAGGAAATATAAGCTTCCTTCCAAGAAAGAGCAGACTGTGTATTAAACTGGTAGCAATTTCCAGACTCTGGATCGTGTTCCCAGATATCACGACAACCATCCTCTGTTTAAAGGAAGCAGAAGGTACTTGTAACTACAACTATACAGAAACATTGTGAACTTTTCAAAAGAAAAGCTGTAATACTGAAAATCTATTGATTTTTATATTGGTCATCACAAATACTGCAGAGTAAGTGTGTGCTGATTGTCCTGTCAATGCTGACAATAGAAATGCTTTTCCCCATCTTAACAGCAACCTGCTACACCAAGGTTGAGTTGTATATACATGAAGTGACAAAATGCTTTCAGGATATCTATGTAGAAAGCCAACATGCCTGGTTGTAAGCAGATTCCCCATTTTCCATCGCGAGCATAATCTTCAGACGTGGCGCACCATTTCCCACCCACATGCGTTTCATCCTGAATGCAGTCATGGTGCCATGTCTTATTATACAGAAAGGGGAACTCACAGGGTTTTCCATATGAGTTTCCATCTTTGGTATAAACCTCTGCAGAAAAAAAAAGAAAAAGAAGTAAATGCAAGTCGCCTAGGGATGAAAACGACATCAAATCAATGTTACTGCTTGTACAGGCACAGTTAACCTAAAAGCATGCAAATTGCACTTGCGGTCTTAAAACACTGTGTCTTGTTGTTGCACATAATATACAGCAATGCCAGAACTGAAACCAATGTTCTTCTGCACTTTTTCTTCTGAGAAAGAACAGAAACTAGTTTTCCCCATCCTCGTAAGTTACGGATAAATTCATTGTCTTATTGAAATCCAGGCAGTTTGCACACAGTATTATAGAACAAGGCTCTAGGAATCAACACATACAGAAGGAGGAAAACATTTCAGACTGGAGTCTACCAGGCTCTTCATACTGGCCACTTTGAACAATTCAAAGAAAATTCTGTTACAGTAAAGCATGTTTTCACCACTGCTTCCAGCAGACATGAGATTTCCAATGAGACTGGCTTCCATGGCAAAACATGACCATAGCAAAGCGAAGGCTCCTGACAGTCCACCAGGCTGAGCTAGCAGGATGGTCTGAATTTCACTGTACAGTCTACCAGCAAAGAAAATACCCTCAAACTCGGCTAACAGCAAAATTCCCATCACAGTGAGGAGGACAGTGACAGTTCTGATAGAAGGTGGTTGATATTTCATAATGAAATAGGTTTGAAATGGGGGGGAGAGATTTAACCCTCCTAAGAAAGTCACTCAATAACACAGCTTCTGCAGTTGTGCATAGTTATTTTTTATTAAAAACAATTAAAGTTTCATATTTAAATATCAGAGTCTCTCTATAGGAAAACATTCTATTGCTTTACTGCCTTTTCACGTGATTAATTTTAAGAACTTTTTGGCACAGACATACTCAAATATCCCTCAACAAATAAGAAATCTCCAAATCTCCGTGCAAACTTACCATGATAAGAATACTGACATATATCACTGGAGGAATTGCTGCTTCTCCACTGGTCTGTGGCATTTATGCTTGCAGTTACATAGGTATTCTTGATAGTTAGTTTGTACTGAGATGCTCCAACAACAGAACCATCAGCACATCGCCACCACAGCATTAATTCCGAGTTACAATCAACCATTTTTAGGCGAGATGGCAATTTGGTGAATATATCAAGTCCCAGGCACTGCTTGGACCCCAAGTGAAAGAGGCGATTCCGGGACACCCATTTCCATAAAGCTTCCCTTGTCTCTCTGCAGTCATCTATCACTATCCGTGAGTTTTTCACTTGTATGCATTTGTTCTGTTCATCATGGCGAATGGTAAAAGCATCACTGCCTGTATAAGAAGAAACAAATATCTACATATGGCTATGATTCAGTATCATTTTCACAAGAAGTTCAGTTTTAAAGGGTAATCACATTCTGAGAGATGCTACCAGGAAAGTACAGCAACTGCTGTTTGTACATTAAACTACCATGTAGTACACATTCAGTACATTTTCCTACTCTTTACGGAGTGTTCTTTACTTCTGGGGGAAAAGAGCTCTTTCAAAGTCTTTATAAAATGAGGAGAGACAAAATCTAATTGGACTTCTAAGTCCAATTCTAATGATGAGAATTCTTCCTTTATATTTAACATATACTGACTGAATCAAGCTTACTGGGTAAAGAATCTTGCTCCATGCCTATCTGCGAATGCAGTTCCACACAGCAGATACTATAAGGACAATTAAGAGCCATCTTCACTTAGTAAGCACCCTTTTTCTTTACCTGTGTATCATATGTGATACACAGCATGACAGGTTTACATGTGAAACAGTTTGTGGGCGCAACTGCAGTATTGCTAAAAGAACTGCCACTGCCTTGGGGAGAGTTTTACAACGAATGTACATGAGATGACAGAGATGAGAATCTACATGAAAGATGGCACAGAAGGATCAGGGGTATAATTTTTAAAATTACACAGGCACCCTAGTTTCATTGTCACTTGTGAGGTAGTCAGTCACTGAAAAGAAAGAAAAAAAAAGAGTTGACAAAGCAGAGTGTACAATTTTAAAAATATACAGATCACCTTACTGATGCCAGCTGACACCTCTGCCAGTATGAGAACACTTCTGATGAGTGGCAGTAAGTTTAAGCTAACCATGAAAAAAATGCCCTAAAACTATATGTACGCCACAAAACGATGGCTCCACAGTACAAATCTTTTGACTAGCCAGGCTGAAATGGTCCTTGGCTGTCCCAGACCCACAAGGCTCTTACTCTGCTGCTTAAATACAGCTTAAATGCTGAGTAGTGTTTTGTATTTAATAGTAATGCACCGTCAATCACATTCCTACTGTGGTTTTTTTTATTATGACTTAATACTAGGTTTGGCTGAACAGCAAGGAAAATATTCAGTGATGTTATGCAGTGAATTTTACCACTACTTCCCAGTATACTTGTGAATTTTCCACTGTGTAAGTGCCAAGTGGTATTTAAATAGTACTAGGCTGGGTACACTGCAAAGAGGAATCTCTAAGTCAGCCACCTACTGGAGTGACTTTTTCCAAATAGCACCCTTCGAATGTCTCCTTCCTCCTATTAACTAAGAAAGATGTCTTAACAGCCAAACCTGCTTTTGTGATATCTTTTTATGCTGTGCTTTTTCAGCACTATATCTGCTTTTTGCTTTTTATTCTCCTCTCCTGACTTTCTTCTTCTTTTTCTTTTAATTTCATTTCTTGTAACACGTGTTTGGCCTCTTCTCAGATTCTCTTTCACTTCTCCCACACAACCCTCATACATCAAGTAGAAAACCACTTCGCAAAATTTCCCTGGGAAAACTGCTGATGTTGTCTCACCAAATCTCTCTGTACAGCAATTTAGTAATAACCAATCCAGCTCAAGACTCTGGCCATGAAGTTTTACCTGACATCTTTAGCTACAAAATCAAAGCTGTTATTTACTCGTACGATATAAAAACACGAGAGGCGCAACTACTTAGTGAAGAGCTCAACTTGTTTCCCAGCAGCTCTCGTCAAGCTTGCGGCTCTGGCTTACAAGAAATTGCTCAACGCTAAACTTCACCCCCTGCTTTGGGCCGGGGAGGGGAAGCCTCCTTCCCCGCTCGCCGGGCGCGGGACGTTTCCCTTGCCGAGGTGTCAGGCCGAAGGGCGGCGCGGGCGGCCCCGAGCGCACCGGGAACG